TCTTGTTCATTATTTAATAAATAAACAAAAAAATGATGGTCTTTGGAATTTTGATTCAAATAGAAAAACAATAAAAGATTTAACAGGAAAACCGTTTGCTATTTTTCAATCATCTGAAATTCATAGTAATACTCAAATCTTGATTACAGCTATTATTATTGTCTTATTGGAAGTAAGGTATACGGCTTTACGTTCAATATGGGATGATGCTATAGACAAAGCACGACGATGTTTAATTAATTTATTAAATAATGATTGGAAACAATTAGTTTTTTTATTTAGACATATTAGAATAATATTAAGTGGATAAAAAGTTTTTATTTACTATTTTTCTATTGTTATATATTTGATGAAAAATATTTCGAAGAATATAGATATATTGTATTTTTTAATGTAAAAATGAATCAAGAAAAAAAACCGATTTTAGTAACAATTTCAAAATTGTATCAATGTTTTCCGACGCTAACTCTATAGTTGTGATTTATGAGTGTAACATTGAATAATATGATCTATAGAATATAGGAAAAAAAATCTTTTTAGTATAGCTACTGAATCGATCTAAGACAACATGAATTGCCTTGATGATTGCATTACAAAGAATTCTTTGATATTTGTTGACTAGTAGTATTAGAAATTAATTTAAAAATGAGTAATACAAATTTTACAAATGAAGTTGAACTTTGATTAATACTTAAACGATTTATTGAACTCTATTCTAAGACTTTGTCCTTGGTCAATACACTTATTTTCAAATACTGCTTATAAAAAGCAAAAGTTTGAAAGTTGGCCATTATATAAATTAACGTCATTTATTTTGAATATACTGTATTCTTAATAGACATTGACAAAACAAAAATGATTCATGTTAAGATGTTTTTCTATCAGAATATTAAATATATATAGTTTCATCGAATAATATGTTGACTATATTAAAGTCAAACATTCATTATTAGTGTTTTCTCTTCGAAAACAAATCTTCAGTAGTTTAATCAAGTAAATCTTTCCTATGTCTTCGAATAAGATCTAACTATATTATTTTCTTACATCGATTAAGAAAAAAAAAGTCTTCACATTACTATTAGTATGTTACTATTATTATGATTTTCAATAATGACATCAATAATCAAGCTTACACATGTATACGAATGTATGTTAAAATATGCCCTTATCAATGACACTATCATTAAAGAAATAAATCTATAAGACAAGTACAAAAAGTCACGCTATTAACTCATCTTCATATATATCTTTTTTTTGCATAAACATAATTTATATATATATGTATAGATATAGATATGCATGGCGTATGTTTGTATTGATCAATGGTACGTGAAATCTTCGATTGTATTGATTGAGTTAAATCGTTCATTGTTATTTTGCTTTTTATTTCTCGTATTATCATTGTCATGTATTCTTCTTAATAGGATAGTGATATGACCTTGACTACGACAAGTGACAGAAAAAGTGAGGAAGCAAGCAGAGAACATACAGATAATTGGGATCTCTGTCTTTGTCTCTCGTTTTTCCTTTTACAAGGCCCTTCCATGCATGACACAACACATAGTGTTGTTCTTTGTCTATATGTCTGGCAGCATCGACATCAAGCCTCGAGAAAATAGAAGACTAAAGAATGATGCCTCGATTTCCAGGCACCAATGAAGATGATGATGATGATGATTATTGTTGTTGTTTATTATTGAAGGTTATTATTTTCTACTCCTCTTTTATTCTTTTTTTTTTTGTTCATTTTTGACTTGCCATTGATAATAAACGAATGATGAACACTTCTAAAAATTGTCAAGAATAATAACCAATTATAAACGTTTAATTCTAATTCAAGGATATATTAATAACAAGTCGTGCTTATTCAAAATTTTGTTCTATAATTCATACTCATAACTGATTGACTAGGATGAGATACAGATGTCATACATATTGTAAGATGATGAGATAGAGATAGAAATGGAAAGCTTCTATGATGGCAGTTTTACACGCGCAAACGAAATCGAGAAGACATCACACACACGCTTTCCTTCAATCTATCTTTTGTAGTTGCACGCAGATGCAATAACAGAAAAGAGAAAATAAAGAGTGAGAAATAGAAAATCCTTCAAGAAATCCAGGGTTCTATTTGTATCGAGGGATTGTGTGTTGCTTATGTGCGTTTCTCATTGAATAGCGTACTCATGAGGGAAGATACAGAAGAGCATGAGGAAAAAAAAGACAGAGAGAAAGGAAAAAGCAAGCAATAGTAAATAGTATAGGACGAAAGAAACGAACGGCAAAAAAAAGAAAAAAAACGCAAGTAAGCAGGCAAGTAAGCATCAATCCTGTATGTGCGTGTATGTGTGTGTGCTTGCACAGCAGCAAGAAATAAAACACCGTGGTGTTACCAAAACAGCAGAGATGCTGTCGCTCTAGTGTAAGAGCAAGAATGAAGATGTTCTTTATACTAACATTGCCAACATCATCGATATTTTGGTATAATGGCTATTCTTTCGTCTCTTGTTGGTTCATCAATCCGTGACCACTTATCATTATTGTCATCCATTTATTCTTTTTTCAACAATTAACTCATATCTTATTATCAGTTTCTATAGACAATATTCTATTGTGGTATGTTTTTGTTTATTTTTCTTTCCACAATTGATAATCACATTGGTTCATTTCAAAAATATTCACATTTAGTATTTCCATCATTCGTTGTATATGTATTTATGTACAAAACCAATTCTTTCCTATGTCTTCAGTTTTATTATAATCAGTAAATCCTTATCATATCAAATTCATAATGCTCTATATAAGACATCATATATAAAGATCTCATGTCTGCTTATTACTTATTTTTGTTGCTGCTGTTATGTATGTTACTATAAATTGTTATCGAGGTCCGTACATATATACATGCGTTCCCCAGGTGTATACATATATGTTTTGTATATTCATCCGCATTGTTTGACAATGCAAACAGACGTGACATAATTGTTAAGATAGAATGAAAGTTATCGTCTCGAAATCGAGACAGATCACTTGTTACATTGATACACGTGTGTTTTTTATTTTGTGTATACATGGAAAAATATAATTTGATATAATTATCTTGACAGACCAAGTCGACCTCGTACTTTCTTCTCTTTTTTTTTCTGATACAGTAGGAGATTCTACTTATCTTTTGTAGAATTGCTCGAGAAAGATTCTCTCTGTTTTTTTTTTGATCGTTTTGATTTAATAACGAAAGTATTACAAAATATTTTTGGTAATTGAACAAGCGGTTTGTATTTTTTTTTTCAATAATCTAATATATATGAGAAATATTTGTAAATTGAATAGTGAAACGATATAAAGATTTTCTTATATTCTATAGTTTCGATTGATAAGTAAAAAAAGAAAAAAAAAAGAAACAAAGATAATTTTTATATGTTAATTGACATTGATAAGTTTTATTTTCAATTTGTAAATATCCGATATCGATTAGAGATACTATATTAGATAGCATTCATTATTTCAATTAAACTATTTTATTTATTTATTATATGCAACTATCATCATTTAGAAATTTATTTAAGAGTCAAAATAAGAAACCTGTTATATAGTATTGAGTAGTTCATGTTAACAAAGAATGAAAGTCACGAACCGTAATAATAAAGTATTCTTTTGATACATTTTATTATTATTATTTGACATTGATTTTACAAAAGAACAAAAAAGCCGCAAATGTGTATACAACAGTTATTTGTCTAGTTGTATACAGATTAAACAATAACTTGATTTTTGTAAGTTCTCTAAGCAAAAAAATAAAAATAAATAAGTTTAGTATTTTTTATTGTAAATTAGATGTTAAAATTTATCTTCGATTTTTAAGTGAAAATCTTTCACGTCGTGCTAACGTCATAGGTGTATAAATACGTTCAGCTTCTTGTCTTTCTTCGAGTGATACTTGTCGATCATCAAGCATAATAAGATGTGACAACTGACTGATCACATAATGTCTATAGTCAACATATTGTTTATAAGAACCACCATTAAAAAAACTTGGTGCTGCCGGATTATTCATCATACTTAAATATTTTAGTTGAGAACAATTAATAGCTAATGTTTGAATAAATACACTTAAATTTGTTATTTGATTATGATTAATCCATAGTGTATGTAACATATCTAAATGAGGTATTTTAACATTTGAATTTATACGATTTTTATCAATAATTAATGTTTGTAAATTTGGAAGATCAATAAGAAAACGAAGATCATCTAAATTATTTTCTGTTAGATCAAGATATTCAATTTTATGTTTATCAGTTGGTAATAGATAATCAGGTATTGATTCCAAACCTTGATATGCAAATGAAAGTTTTTTTTCTATTTCATTGCCTGTTCTTTAATATAAAAATATAAGAAAAATTTAGAACAATAAAATTATGTCTATACTTTGTTTTCTTTCTATTTACTGTTGCCATTGTTTTTATGTCTTAATATGAAAGAAAAATAAATTTTTTATTCATTAAAACTTTAAGATAAGGATAAGAACGAATAAGTTTATATTCAACATCTTTCTTCTTTTTTTTTTTTTGCTTTTCTTTTTTAATTCTAATTTTTTTTGTTTAAATTTTTTTATCATCATCATTTTTGCTTTTCTTTCTGCTTCTTTTATTGATCATACCCAAACACCGAACGGTGCACAATGTGCTATGCATCTAAGAGAGAAAAGAAGAAGAATAAGAAGAAGACGAAGACGAAGAAGAAGACGCGATAGAGAAAAAAAGGGGTTTTTTCAAGATTTCCCTTCTTCGTTTATACTACGTGTATGAAAGAACGACGTTGTTACGATGTATTGAGAAGAGGAAAACGTTTCATGGTAGCAGCAACAACAGAAAGAACCAGGCGACAGGAGCGTGTAATCAAACGACACATACGCAGGCGTATAACGGTTGGCAATTTTCTTTGAATCATACAAAACAAGGAAAACACACACACACATATATACACACACGCATACGGTGATGGCTTATCAGCAGCTGGACGCTCGTAATAGTAGTAGTGTCATTGATGACTATCGAAAGTAGGTTTTGTTTCTATTCGATTTATAAACATATACACTTGATTGATTGTCATTTATCATCATTATTATTCTTATAGATGCTATTGGTAAAAGCCATATCAAACAGTATAGTAGTAACTATGCATAGATTGTTTATTTCACGAACGAAAGAACTAAGTTATCTGAGAAGAAAAAAAAAACATATATACATTTCTTTTTTGCTATTCTTTTTTTCTCTGTCTCTCTCTCTCTCTGTCTCTTGTTTTGACGGATTACGTCTGCCCAGCTGGTAGTAGGTGGGTGTTCGATATGATGAGTAATCAATCGTTTACTTGTCATTGATTCTTCGAACATATTCTTCTATCTTAATAACTCGATATTATGGATTGATACAAGTCACAACATTTATTTTTGTCGTTTTCTTTTTGTTTTTTAAGATCAATCATGAATCCGCCCAAACCATCCAAAGATAAAGAATCACCAGGAACCAGTTCTTCCAGTCAAGTTACATTTGTAAGTTTAATTAAAGAAAAAAATAAACAGAAAATTTATTTTAGGATTATTTTAAATTTATATAGGCTGGTATCAAATCTGCAAGTAAAAAAGAAGGGCGTAGCGGTCGTATCCGAGCCGAAGTTGTAAGTTATTATAATTATTAAAGACAAAACAAAATCAGATTGATAGTTTAGAAATCTTTCTTTTTTTCTTTTGTTTCATTGTCTCTCATGTTGATAATAATGAACAACTAAAAAACTCAAGTGTCACTAGTACAATTTGCTAGTTATTTAGCTTGAGGCTTTTTTTCTATTATGAGGTGTGAATATGTCTTCGTCATTTTCCTATTTTCTTCTTCCTTTTCCGCTAAACAGATTGCACGCATTGTAAACCTGTATAGCCTATATGGAAGTGTTTTTTTTTCTCCATGCGTGTTTTGAACGAGAAATATATTCTGAGACAACAAAAAAATAATGATAATATAGCAAACTCTATGGCGTACATATATATATATGCTATCTGTCGTCGCTCTATCTCATCAGGCTTTGATGCATCGAGAGAAGAAAAAGCAGAGACGCGAATAACGAAGGAGGGACAAATCTGTCTTGGGTTTTTTCCTTCTTCTTTTTTCTTCTCTCCTGAACGACGATAGAAAGAAATATTTCTTTTTGCTTTCCCTATTGAATGCTACTACTTGAATTGTCTTCTTTCTATCCATCTATCTATCTGTCGATCTGTCGGCAAAGTATAGAGAATGCGAACGAACAAAACATTCTATTCCTGTTTCTGTTGTTGTTGATGTTACTGGTGCCAATCCGTCGAGCAGTAATCAACTATTAAGTGTGCTGTGAGGTCATTCGACATCTGTTTTTTAACATCGTTCATTTATATCTTCTAAATAATAAATTAATTTCAAATCGAAATCAATCGACGATCAACTATATTTGTTATTTTTTTTCTCGAGTAAAGAAAATAGACATATTTCTTGTTTTTTTTTGTGTTATTTTCCTTCTCAAAATAATGTTACGTGACATTCATCCGTTCAAATCATTGACATCACGCATCGCTGCGAATGCCAAACAAACTGTAAGTTGATTCTTTAAATTACAAAATATAAGAAACAAAAAAACAAAAAGACAGTCAGACAGATAGATAAACATAATAATTCTGATAGAATGAAAAGATAATTTTCAAAGTCGACTTTCTTTTGATTGTATAGATCTATCAAATTCTATAAATCTAATTTAATAAAGAAGAAAAATAAATAAATAAATAAACATATAAATATTCTCAATTCTAATAATTTAAAACAAACAAATCATATTTTATAAAAGGAAATTTTCTTTTTCTATTATCAAAAAAAAAAAAGAGTTTTTTTTTTTCTAGAAGAATTTTCCATTATTTTACGTTGTTTTTTTATTATCGAATAGCTATTAATCTTTTATGGTTTTGCATTGACAAGAAAGCTTTATGAGAAAAACAATATGAATAGTATTACAAAAACAACAATAAAACTAGAACACAGAAAGAAAGAGAAGTATATGATCGATCGCTTTTTATTAATGCTCACTGTTTATAATAATGCTCAATTGTTGTTTTCATATATGCTATACATGCTGTTTACCTTATTACGGTGCTTTATAACAGTCAAACATTGATTATTATATGAAAAGATTTAGAATATAATCCAAAGTTGATGAGCATACTGACATTTAATGATTAACATTCTTTAAGAACAGAGAAACTTGAACATTACAGATTATTTGTAATGAAAGTTTATTATTCGATCTCTTATCTGAATATAAGATGATAGAAAAAAAAATTTTAATAACAAAATATTCTTTACCTTTTTTTTCTAACTATAATATTAAACGGGTAGTTTTCAAGTCTTCAAAAACTATTTTTAATAGTGCCATTTTAAAGATCATTCCATTTTCTACGACTTTCCTTTAGTATCGCAAAAATCGAGAATAGAGGTTTTATTTTTCGGTTTTTATAGCACTAAGGGAAAGTTCTAGAATATGCCATGACCCATCATGTTGTGCTCTTTAGAATGACATTATTGGAAAATAGCTTCTGGCATTCATTGATTATTAAAATCGATATCTGGATTTTCTCTAATTATTTAACAATACAAGACACAGTAGGCAATTTTAGTAGAGTACATGAACATGACTTATTATCTGTCACAAACGATTTTTTTATAGCAATATTAGCTTCTTGTACTCAAAAATAAGATTGATGATTAAAAAGACTGTTTACGATCGAAAATCCCTGAGGGGCACCCTTATTCTAAACTTCTGTAAAATCATTTTATATTCTTAAAATTGACACATAGTACATTACTCGATACAGCCTTTCATGTTGATGCTAAACATGTCTGTACTCTTCTCTCAAACTGCTCTTGTAATAAAGAAATCCCAAAACATCAATTTTTTTTTTTTTTTTATAAAACCTCTCTGGCAGTTTAGAAACATTTATACTAAATAATGAGTAGACTACCAAAAGAGATACCTTGTATTTGAGATGAAGACTTCAGTCATTACGTAGAATCTGCTGAGAGTAGAAGAAACTTAAAAGGACTCTTTTCCATGCGCTGCCATTTTGAAATTATAGGCTTTACACTGGACTTTTACCGTTGAGACCATATTAATTAAAACCATTTCAACAGCAAAAGAATCCAGCATAACAACCATCACTCGAAAAAAAATAGTGCATTGAGAAAAACTCTTCTCGGTCTCTTTTAGTATTCATAGGGCGTACATAATGACTTGAATCTCATTTCATACGTGTGAAGTGTCATCCCGTATTGTTTCCTCATGGGTGTATATTTTAAATATAGAAAAATATTTTTGGAAAGTTTTGTTGATATCAAATTCGTGAAAGAAAATAGCAGCTTACTCTTTTTATTTTTCAGACAAAAAAAAAAATTCTGAAATTTAATTTTTCCTTGCAATTAAGGATACAATTTTTCTTAATCATAAATCTAGTCGTTAATTAATGTGTATATGTTACCATTCTAATCTCGAAAGAGCTCATTTTTTTCCCTTAATGCATACTGTGTAAGAAACTTCTCATAAATTGATGAATATGATTTATAGTTGAAGTCGTGCATTGCATTAATTAGATAATTAATAATTGATTTTTATTTTTCTTAGGACATAAATCGAGAAATACAAAATTGTCGTGATGAACAAAGTGAACGATTTGATTTAAGTAAAAGTAGTGTTACTATTCTACCAAATACAATTAAAGATGTAAGTAAAAATATTGTTTTTATAATTATTATTTTGTATTTTTATAGTTAACACATGTTCGAGAATTATATTTATATAGTAATCGTATTCAACAATTACCACCTGAAATTGGTAATTTAGTTAATTTAAAAGTATTAGCTTTAAGTGAAAATTCATTAACAACTTTACCTGATACAATGGATCGTCTTGTTCAATTAAAAGTACTTGATTTACGACATAATAGATTTAATGATGTAAAATAGAAATTTTTTTTATTTAAAAAAAAAAAAAAGTAAATAAATATTATTTTTAGATACCTGAAGTTATCTATCGAATAACTAGTTTAACAACACTTTATTTACGTTTTAATCGTATTAAAGAAGTATCAGATACAATTCGAAATTTAGTTGTAAGTAAATAATAAGAAAAAAAAAAATAAAATAATAATTATTATATGTTTTTGTTTTTAAATAGAATTTACAAATGTTAAGTTTACGTGAAAATCGTATTCGTTCATTACCTATTACAGTTGGTCATCTTATACAGTTGCTAACACTTGATGTTGCACATAATCATCTTGAACATTTACCAAATGAAATAGGTTTGTTTTTGACATATAAAGAATAGATCTGTCAGTATTTTGCATATTTCTCAGCAGTACTTTAACATAACAGAACAGCATGCTTCCTTTTTTCATTGGACTTACGGAGTGATTTTGTCAGTCTTTATTCTTAAACATACAACACTTCAATTAATTATCAGTCTAAAACTTGCTCGAAGGAAGTCTTAGCTATTATTGTTAATCAATAAGATAAAAAGAAAAAGGCAGAAATCTTAATAAATGAATATTGATTATCTTTATTATCTAGAATAAGTACTTTTATAGTGTGTTTTTTTTTTCAAAAAAAGTAACGTTCTCTTCTATGGAATCAAAAACATAAGAATACCAAAGATGGTCCTATAGATAAAGTTTCAAAGAAATTGTAACAATTTCTATGTTATTGATTAACATTAATAATTAAGATTTCGATCCTTTTGAAGGCTTCATTAGAACTAATTTCAGACTAACAATTAATTGAAGTCTTGCATCATTATGACAAAGGCTGAAAAAATCTCTTGCAAAGATCTAATGTACACAGCTTGATAAAAAAAAAAGAAGGATTTAAACTAAGTAGAAATGTGTGAAACTGGAACTACAAAAAAAAAATAATTATTCCAATCGGAACCAAACATTATATTGAAAGATTCTATGATTTTGAGCAATCTATTTTATAAATCATCAATCAGAACATAATTTAAGAGACATCATCCAAAAAAGTATTAGTCGTCAACACATAACAAAATTGCGACCGACATCTCTAACATCCATGCATAAAGTATACTATTCCTTTTAAATGAAAAATGTAAATTTGTAGGTAATCGAACGAGAAATCTAGAGAAAAAAAATTGTCTCGTTATGTTGAAAGGTTATTGAGAAATATGCAAAATACTGAAAGATCTATAATTTATAGATCATTTGTTATTATTTAACAAATATACAAGAAAAATAAACTTTCTTTTTTTTATGTTAGGAAATTGTGCTCAGCTAACAACATTAGATTTAACTCATAATGAACTTGTTGATCTCCCAGAATTAATAGGAAATCTTAAAAATCTTAGTCGACTGTTGATCAGATACAATCGCCTCTCGACCATTCCATCATCATTAGCTAATTGTTCTAAACTTGATGAATTTAATATTGAAGGAAATAATGTTTCACAATTACCGGTTTGTCATGTTCTTTTGATTTTATTAAATTTTTATTTTATTTTTTTTGTTTTGTTTTGTTTTAATAATTTTACAGGAAGGACTTCTATCAAGTTTAGTTCATTTAAATACAATATCATTAGCACGAAATAATTTTAATTCATTTCCATTGGGTGGTCCAACACAATTTACATCTGTACATTCAATTAATATGGAATGTAATACGATTGATAAAATTCCATTTTCAATTTTTTCACTTGCTAAATATTTATCAAAATTAAATATGCGAGAAAATGCATTAACATCGTTACCATTAGGTAAAAGAAAAAAAGAATTTTGCTTTTTCTTTATAGAAAATTTTTCTTATTTAAATTTATCAATTATAGATATTGGTTCTTGGACAGCATTAGTAGAACTTAATCTAGCAACTAATCAATTAACTATTATACCAGAAGATATAAAAAGTTTACAAAATTTAGAAGTACTTATTATGTCGAATAATCAATTGAAAGTAAGAGAAAATAATATCTTACCTATCATTTCTGTACTAAAAAAGATTCTAAAAGTTAGTTTTTTAAAATGACATAATCAATTCAACTAATATAGTTAGAAAACAAAGTCAAGTGTAATGCTGATGAGAATAACTAAAAAAATATAAACGCATAAAATGGAGTCTCGCACTTCGTTGTCAATAAAAAATGAAATCTATATCATAATATTGTATACGAGAGAACCTTTTTAAAAATATCTTTCTTAGTCTTTTTTTCCATTATTGATCAAAAATGTCTATAATGATTCGAAGAGTGTGCATGGATCTATTTCGAATTATTAACAAATTATATTGTTTTGTCTGATTTGAATCACACTTTCAGGCAACAGATTCCCAGTATCATTTTGCTTAGGAGGAAACTGTCGGAAGTGCCCAACTCCGTTTTGATTCATTTCTACCTCATTCAATAGAGCATGTTGAGATAAGAAAAAATCTGTGAGGTTTTGAGCTCATGGCTCTTCCTTCAAAAAGTTATGGGCGTTTTACTAAATTAAGGAATTTCGACCTGATATTTTGCCTATATATAGGGGTCAAATGATCCTTAGAATGTCCTGAAAGTTTCAGCCAAAAAGAATGTTCCTTTCTCAAGATATTAATTTTTCAAGTGAACTCAATTTTTGTGACCTATCTGTGGCAAGCAACTATTTTTTTTGAAAAATCAATATCTTGAGAAAGGAACATTGTCTTTGGCCGAAACTTTCACAATATTCTAAGGATCATTTGGCCTATATATAGGCAAAATTTCAGATCGAAATTCCATAATTTAATTTTTCCAGTAAATAGCTAGGAACGGGTGGAAAATTTAGTAAAACATCCATAACTTTTGAAGGAAGAGCCATGAGTCCAAATCTTCATAGACTTTTTCGTATCTCAATATGCTCTATCGAATGAGGTAGAAATGAATCAAAATGGAGTTGAGCACCTCGGGCAGTTTCTTCGTGAATACTATAACATTTGTCACTTTTCCCAATGAATACTTTGTATTGTTAGATTCTATCACACTTATCTTTGATAATTGATCCTTTATGTATAAGAAAAAGGACTTTATAGGACAACTCAAAAATTTCTGTTTAGACTATTTCAATCCAATACTTACTTAAGTATGCATGAAATCTGATATATATTTTTTTTCTTATAGAGAATTCCTCCATCATTGGGCCAATTACGAAAATTACGGCATTTAGATCTTGAAGAAAATAAACTTGATTCACTACCTCAGGAAATAGGTAAATTACTTGAATTAAATTTATTTCATATGTATATACATATTTTTTATTTAGGCTATTTACGTGAATTAACAAGGTTGATTGTTGCATCAAATCAATTGACCCAATTACCACGTTCCATTGGGTAAAAAACAATAACTTCTAAAAGAAAAAAAAAAAAATTTTTTTTTTCCCATATATTTATTAGATCTCTATCAAATTTAACTCATTTAAATGTTGGTGAAAATAATTTAAGTTCATTACCTGAGGATATAGGTCAATTAGAAAAACTTGAACAACTTTATATAAATGATAATCCAAATTTGGATGTACTTCCGTATGAATTAGCATTATGTACTAATTTACAAATAATGAGCATCGAAAATTGTCCACTTAGAAGTTTACCACAAGAAATAGTAGCTGGTGGACCTTCTCTCGTGATACAAGTAAATAAATATATATATATATATAATCATATTTATTTTATTTTTCTTTCTATTTAGTTTCTCAAAGTACAAGGACCGTTTAATTTAAATTAATGTCGTATTTATTCTTTATAAAACTATGGATCTCATATTTCTCTCATTTCTTTTATTTCTTCTCTCTCTATGTGTATTAGTCAAATCGGTGTGTTTTATTTTTGAACCGGTAATTGTATGTGTGTATTATTATCATTCTTCTTATTCTTTTCCTTTAAACAAACAAAATTTTGATAAAAGAAAGAAAATGATTTTGTGTTTGGTATATCTTGCATTTGTTTTCCTTTTTCTTTTTTTTGCGCTAGACATTCTATCATCCCATCTTTTTTTTTTTTTGTATATACGAGTATGTGTAATCTTTTATACTCTTGACAAATGAATATATGTGTGCGCGCAATCGGTTCTGTATTTTTCTTTTTGTTTGTGTTTCGCTCTTTGTCCCAGACGTACATAAGACATATAAACATAAATATATTTGCCTTTTCGTTTGTTGTTGGTGCGTTAGCAATTCAAATCGTATATATATATATTTTCTTCTTCTGCTCGTGGAATTACCAGTCAGAATTAACATGTGTTTATATGTATGTGCGAGATTTTATTCTGATATTATTATAATATTTTTGTTTAGTCTTTTTTTCTTGTTCTATTCTCTCTTGATGTATTTTGACGATCGTATATATATGCCAAAATGATCTATATTCTGTTTAACACCGATTAGGTGAACATTAGACAAGAGAGAAATAGATGATGATTATGATGGTTGACAATTTAGATTAATGAAAACATAGATTTTAGATTTTTAATGTGCTTTTAATGGAGAGAATAATAAGTATTTGTTTTTATTGATAAGTGATAGAATGTTATATGGTAGGTGTTTATGTTGAAACAAGAGGATATTCTTGGGTCTTCACAATAAGTAGAAGTTTAGGAAGCGAAATTTTAACTATTTGCAAATAGATTTTAGATTTAACCCTTTGCGGGCCAAATTTTATATAGCCGGTTTCTGTCGATGTTTAGGGTGCAGTTAGGTAGACCTTGATCCAGATTGTCATGCGCGAGGATCAGGTCATCAATATTGGGATACTTCACGTTTGACATGCTCATTTATAGCGACTAACATGAGTATAGTTTATACAGAAGGTTGAGTAAGGGTGGGTGTGGGTGTGGATGTGGGGTGTGGGGTGTGGATGTGGGGTGTGGGTGTGGGTGTGGGTGCGTAACGTGTGGATGTTGATGAAGAGCAAACCAACTGACTTCCACACCCACACCCACTCCCCACACCCACACTCACACCCACACCCACACACACACCCACACCCTTTTTTCCTTATTTATTGTACAGTTGGACAAGAAAATATATGACGTCATTTTCTTTGTTATATAACTTGAACTTGAACTCGAATAGCCAGAAATTAACCCTATCTATGCAGTATTATCATTTTTTCTACCAGAATCATTTTTTCCTAATTTATTATAGTTCTTTGACCAAAACCAAATAGGTGGGACATATATGTCCCACTGGCCTCCAAAGGGTTAATCTCTGATCTGCACTATGTAGTTTTTTTGTTTTGAGTTTAGAACAGAGATGGACGAAGTCGCACCGCGCCTCCCCGCGCTTCCCAGCGCCGTTGCTCATGCCTACGCTACACTAATCTGAGCTTCGATGAGCGCATGCTTAGAGCATCCCGGTATTCGGTGGAGTTTGAGAAACTAATTGGTAGAGCAAAGAGAAAGAGAGATGTGCGTAGCGCCTAGGCGCGAGCAGCGGCGCGGAGAAGCGCGGGGAGGCGCGGTACGATTTTGTCCATCTCTGGTTTAGAATATTTGCTTGCCAAATCTGTTTAAAGGCAAGCACCCGTACAAATGTATCGTGTAGGTCATTATTAGTAGTTAAATCAATTGTATTAGTCATAAAAGTGAACACTATGTAAAATTCAGTCGAAGAAAACGTATAACATATCGATAATAGGTGTTTGATAAGTTTTAACTGGCCATCATCTCTTGAGGTTAGTGCTTGACTAATGAAAGAACTTTCTCGAATGTCCTCTTCAAATTTCCATGATATTTTTGTCTATAGATACTACATACCATTCTAGTACAACTTAGCTATCTTTCTTAAAAAAAAACAAAAGTTTTGAATAAAGTGTCTCCGACATATTAGACTTTGCAGGCCTTTTTTCATGAATAATGTGAACGTGGGTAAAACTAAGATGTGGCTATGAAAGCGGTTTAAGGTTTTCTTTACACCGTCACCAGACAGCTACCATTATCAAGTAACACATAGCGGCATGGTAACAAATGCGTGTAATAGGTTTTTTTGGAAGAATAATCATGTTTTATAAAGTTTAATCAAAGTAGATGTGATTTGACCGAGAAATCGATTACAGATGTAGATTCTTCGATTCCAATACGTTTTGATCAAATTTAATGAAACATGGTTGACTTTATCGAAAAAAAGCCTTGCGTTAATGAAAAAGTCTAGTACACGAATTTTCGATCATGATCGTATCCATTCAGCCATTTACTAGTATGAAATCAGTAAGCGAGCAAAAGAAAATTCATCGATACTCAGCAGTATTTTTATAGCAATAATCTTATACAATAAAACTGAATTGAACAACAATCAAATAGTACTAAATCAATTAAATAAGTACCAGTTAACCGATGCCAGTTGAAAGTTGGACTTGATGCATCTCTACTTCGAGTAACAAAAAGGCTTTGGCTCTGATTTCGCACTTAGTAATATATATACTAACGAAAAATACAAGTTCATCTTTCAGCAGTGTCAATGTACTCGAGATACCTTGACGATCTCTAATGTCTCCCCCCTCTTGGAATTTCTTAATTTTTTTAAATTTAAATTGTAACACCAACTATTGGAGAATCGCTACTCAATAATTTTTCCAAGTTTTATACGACCATAAAAAGATATCATTACCAATGAAAAAGTATTGGTCTTGATCCAGGTTTTAGAACCATCTACCCATATTAAAGATAAATAGTGCTTCATAATTAACACAAGGAAAATGCTGCTGACTTGTCTTACTATTATATTATAAAATCACAAATGTTTTCATGCTTTAGCACTCATATATATTCTTATCTACAAAGACTTTCACTCTACGGATATTTACTTTGACTCCGAGAACATCACAAGTATTTCTACTACTGAAGGTAGATGAACTTCGTATAATTAAATTCTATTTCGTAAGAATAAATTTGAAGAATAAACTCATTTTATTTCTTTAATATAACACATCAGAGACAAATGAAAAAAAAAAAAAATAATAATAATAAATTTTGTTCTATGTATCCATTGCTTCTTGTAATTGATTGACACTGTTATTTCCAGCAGTTAATGTTGATGATGTATCTGAATGATTAAAATAAGCTGAACCACCACCACCATTTGACCATGCAGTTGCCAATTGAACAAGACGATCTCGTATTTCAACAAATTTACGTTTAAATTCAATACCATCACCTTTTGATAAACGAAAATCAGCCATAATTTTTGAATCAGGAATTTTGAATACATTCACTTTAAATATTAATTCCGTATGTCGTTTATCTTGTGTAACAACAGTTATCTAAATAATATGACAAAAAAAAAAAAGAAAAACAACGATGGAATAAATTGAAGTTAGAAATCATTTTTTTACTTGATTGCCAGCTGTACGTTTAGGTGTATAACCTGTATGAACAAATAATCGATTGAGTAAATAAATTGTTTCATCAAATGATATTGCTAATACAACTCGTGTCATACGATGTACAAGATGTTCTGATGGATCACTCTACAAAAAAACAAAACAATAATAATAAATTAAATCTATGATTAAAAATTAAATAGAAATAATAATAGTATTTAACTTACATCACCCATTTCAGTAAGTGATCTTGGTTCAGTTATTAAAATAAGATCATCAAGTTTAATTGGTTGTGATATACAATTAACCATTGAATCATCTGTTAATAATGGTGATATAACAGTTGATGTTGTACTTTGATTTGGTTGTGTTAATGACCAATATGGTTCTTCGTATTTTACTCTGAATTAAAAAAAAAAAAAAACAAGATTTATATGAACATTAAAGATAATTAGATATATGGGCCAAAATATTCCTTAGTGATCTGACGTAATACGAAATGATGCTCTTATAACCGAATGAATAGTTAAAACGAATTCTAAACAATACAAATCTTTTTTTTCGAAATCCTTAGAAGACCAATTTTTAACAGGGAAATTTTCGTATTGTTTTTTTCATATGGTTAAAAATGAGGAAATATTGATTTGAAGGACACGGATATTAGAATCATTGAACTAATGCTGTTAGAGAAAGTTGAGATTACTATTGCAACTGTAAACTTACAGAAGATCCAAGCACTTGATTTTATTATGTCTATTTTAAGATCAGAAATCACTGAGTTATTCATGGAGGTATGCAGAGCATTTCGCAAGATTTTCGGCACTGCCATTATACTCGTTTTCATGGTATTGATTAAAATCTAACACAATGGTCTGTTTTTCTCTCACTTATATACTCGATTTCAGGCTTCTGGAAAGAAACATATACTTTTTAGTCATCTTTTAAAAACTCTATAACTAATGAGTTAACCAGTCAATTAATTAATAAACAACCACAAGAGCAAATATTTTTACACACATTTATGTTAAATAAACTTATTCGAAAAAGGAAGTCTTGTAAAGAATGAAAGGTAGATATTTCCTGTTTTGTCTAAAATAGCCCATATATAAAATAATACATACGCCATTCGTTTTAATAATTGATGATCTGATTCTGTACCATCTATAGATGAGACAAAAGAAAATGTAGAGTATATATATCAATGAGTAAATTTTGAAAACAATTATACCTTGTGGATATACTTTAGATATCCATCTATGACTTTGTATATCGTTGACCTTAGCACGTTGTCCTGGATCATGAATTAGAATACGACGAAGAAGATCTAAAGAGAACAAAATGATTTTGAAACAAATAATCTATTCAATATTATTCATACTAAGAATCATATTATCAATCTTCTTCCATGGA